AAGAACTACAGTCATGAAAATACTAGCTGGGTTTCAAAGAAGCATAGAAGACACCAGAGAAACTCTGACTGCAGAGATAAAAGACCTAAAAACTAGTCAGGTCAAAATAAAAAATGCTATAACTGAGATGCAAAACTGACTGGATGTAATCACAATGACGATTGAAGAAGCAGAGGAATGAACAGGTGATATTGAAGATAAAATTATGGAAAATGATGAAGCAGAAAAGCAGAGGGAAAGATAACTATTAGATCACAAATATAGACTTAGGGAATTCAGCGATTCTGCAAAGCACAATAATATCCATATCATAGGAGTCTCAGAAGAAGAGCAGGGGAAAGGGAGCAGAAGGTTTATTTGAGCAAATAATAGTTGAGAACTTTCCTAATCTGGGGAAGGAAATAGGCATTCAAGTCCAAGAGGCACAAAGAACTCCCCTCAAAATCAACAAAAACAGGTCAACACCAAAAAGTTCCATAGTGAAACTTGCAAAATACAAAGATAAAGAGAAAATTCTGAAAGCAGCTCAGGAGACAAAATCCTTAATCTACAAGGGTAGACACATAAGGTTAGCAGCAGACCTGTCCACAGATATTTGGCAGGCCAGAAGAAAGTGGCATGATATCTTCAATGTGCTAAATGGGAAAAATATGCAGCCAAGAATACTAAATTCAATAAGGCTGTCATTCCATTCAGAATAGAAGGAAAGATAAAGAGTATCCAAGACAAGGAAAAGCTAAAGGAGTCTGTGAACCCTAAACCAGCCCTGCAAGAAATATTAAAGGGGACCCTTTGAATGGGAAAAAAAGGACCAAAAGCAACAAAGACTATAAAGGAACAGAAACAATCTACAGGGACAATGACTTTACAGATAATACAATGGCACTAAATTCATATCTATCAATAATTACTCTGAATGTAAATGGACTCAATGTCCAATCAAAAGACACAGGGTATTAGAATGGAAAAAAAAAAACAAGACCCACTGATATGCTGCTTACAAGAAACTCATTTGAGACCCAACGACACCTCCAGATTGAAAGTGAGGGGGTGGAGGATCACCTATCATGCTAATGAACATCAAAAGAAACCTGGAGTAGCCATACTTACATCAGACAAACTAGATTTTAAACCAAAGACTGTAATAAGAGATGAAGAAAGGCAAAGGAAAGGAGAAAAGGCAATGCAAAAATGAAGTACAACTTAAGATGAAGCCTTCAATGACTATTTATATCCAGTTAGTTCCTTCCCTCCAAACCCCTTGAGCTTCTTAGTTATTGAGAGAAAGATTACTGTGGACAGACTTTCTAAAGGCGATATTGGTGGCTTCCTTGAAAATCAGCAAAAGTCAGTACTGAAATGGCAGTGAGAAGCAGCACAGATACAGTCTCTAAAGGGAGCTCATCAGTATATTTCCCTTAGTATCAAAGACACACAGACAAGCTCAATTGACTTTAATTAAGGTCTCCCTAGACTCCCCAACAGGTAAGCCTTCCTAGCATCCCTAGCACAAGAGCTAAGTAATTTGCCAACCAGGGTAAGTGTGAAAGATACTCCAGCCCCAGGGTAGCTATATAATCCTTAGAAGTAATTAGTAAGAGATTACAACCTATTATTCTGCATTCACAGCAAAAACACTCTGTTATCATAGCAATGGCCTAGATATGTGTTAATTTGATACCTATTGAACAAAAATCATCACATCAAAAAACATAGAACCAGGCTTGTATTTTAATATCATAATGTTTCCTAGGACAGATAATGATATTTAGATGTAGTACTTCTTAATGCGTTTGTTCGATTATCATGCTCCATAATTTATAAAAATTATAAGCAAGAAACATTTTCTTTGAAAAGAAACAAAGGTTTTTTAAAATCCAAAACCATGTAGACCACAGAACTACTAGGCAAAGAACAAGAAAGTTTAATAAGAAGCTGGAGTTTTAAATTTATGTTGGATGCCAAATTTGCAAATACTTTTTTTTTTTTTTTAGATTTTATGTATTTGTCAGAGAGCGAGCATAAGCACAGGGCGTGGCAGGCAGAGGGAGAAGCAGGCTCCCTGCTGAGCAAGGAGCCCGATGCGGACTTGATCCCAGGACCCTAGGATCATGACCTGAGCCGAAAGCAGACGCTTAACCAGCTGAGCCACCCAGGCATCTCTGCAAAGATTTTTTAAGAATTTTTATCCATTACTCCTTATATCAAGTTCAGTGCTTATTAGCATCACAGTGTTACAGATGAAGAAAACAGAGATTCAGAGAGGTTAAGTGAGCTTTGTGGGGTCTCTTAGTAAGTCAATATTGGCAGGGAATGGATTAGAGCCTGGAACCCTTCTCCTTTTCAGGCTAGCAAGCGGTACTCACTCTGTGGGGTTACTTTCCTGAGCAATAGAATAAACATGGCAAGCATCTCTGGATATTTATAATGTATCAGAACTTTTTAGAAAGCAGTTCTCTCAGTTGATTAAGTGTCCAATTCTTGGTTTCCGCTCAGGTCATGATCTCAGGGTCATGGGATCTACCCCACCTCGGGCTCAGTGCGAAGTCTGCTCAAGAGTCTCTCTCTATCTCTCCTTCTCCCTCTGCCCCTTTCCCAGCTCCTGCACTCTCTCTCTCTCTCTCATAAATAAATAATTTAAATAAATAAATAAATAAAATCTTTATTAAAAAAGGAAAGAAGTTCTCTCAATGCAAATAGTTCTTCAAAAAGAATGATAAAAGAATGATTTTCTAGATAGGTATAATGGAAGTTGCAGTAAATTTTGACCAGAAAATTTCTCTTTCATTATATAATCCTCCACTTACTAAATTTTCTGACCTTGGGCAAAACAACTTCTGTATGACTCAGTTTCTTCACTTCCAAATTTGATACAGTACCAGAAGCTACTTTCCAGGATTGTGGGAAAGCAAAAGAAATAATTCCTTGAAAGGTCAACAAATAACTCTGAGTATCTATTATGTGGTAAGCACTTCAAATACTAAGATTCAGAGACCTGGTCTCCATCCAGGAATGTAGCACTACCTACAAGTTTAAGGTTGTTACTTTTATATTTGAGCAACCACATGTCCTATCCAAATGTGGAAATGGAGCAGTCTAAATTGTCTCATCTGAGGCAAATATTTCCTCAGTAAATCATCCTTTAGTTCTGAACTAGGGGTTAAGACAAACATAGAGTACAAAGCAGCTGTGAAGGTAATTCAAAGTTTGTTCAGTTCTTAATTTCCCAAGAAAGAAGACAGGTAAATACCACTAAGCAAGCAGCTTCAAATAGAATATTCCAGGAAAACCCATTCAGGTGAGTATAAACTCTATAAGTAACAAATCAAGCTAGACACCCATTACCTAGATTGCTATGAATTAATGTGTAAAATCATTATCCTAATAATAAACACTGGTAAAATAGAAAACATAAACTCATTCTTTTTAAAGAAAAAAATTAAAAATCCACATAGAAACAAAAGTATACTAGAGTTTGCCTTCAAAATCCTTTTTTTTTAAAATCCTTTCTTTTAATAAAAGTAATTTTTCAAAGAATTTTTTTAAAAAGATTTTATTTATTTGAGAGAGAGAACGAGAGCAAGAGCATGAGCAGGAACAGGGCAAGGGGCAGAGGGAAAGGGAGAAGCAGAACTGCTGAGCAGTTTTGTTTTTGTTTTTGGTTTTGGTTTTTAGAGCGATTTCTAGCATTTGGCTATTATAGGGAGTCCAGCAGATATTGATAATACCCAATTCACTATCAATTACCTATTAGGGTAGTGCAGCGTAGTGACCCAGAGCCCAGATTCTGGAGCTAGACTGCCTCAGTGAAAATCTTGGTTCTAATAGTACTAGCTACATAATCCTGGGTAAATTACTTAACTAACTGGGGCCTCAGTGCTTCCTTTTCAGCCAGGAGCGAATTACAGGTCTTAGCTTTTAGTCTTTTTGTGAGGACAAAATAAATGAATGTGAATAAAGCACTTAGAATATTGCTGGCCACATTGTAAACACTCAATAAGCTTTAATGACTGTTATTGAGTTGGTGTTAATCATAATAGCTCAGCTCATGTAGTAATGTGCTTATTTCCATAGTCAGAAATATATTTTTCTTTGTCAGAAATAGAAGATTTTGAATTGAACTATTAGACAACAAATATATCTTGCCTAAAAACAATACAATTGATTACTTATGGTTAAAAAAATCACTTTGAGACTATTTCATTCCTTATTTTTCCACAAGGATTTACCTTGTCATCTCTAATTTGGGAGAGATTTTCTTTAGGGCATTTTGTTTCCTATAAGTAGTTTTATTTTTACCCCTCCAGGGTAAGGATATTTATTCATCTCAAATAGTTGAATCAAGTGAAAACAATGCTGTCTGAAATTAGTTTGGTTAATTTGTTTTTCTCTTTCCAAAAGCTTCCTATCTCAGCTCTACCTAAATGTACTTGGTTTTATTCTTTTGACAAGCTTATCCCCTACTAAGCTGTGTTTCTTTACAGCTTAATTGCAGTGTGTCAAAACTGCTGGGCTCTAATCATGAGCCTCTTTTCAAAGATTTCAGTTGCTTCCCAGTAGCTGAATACTTACATCCATCCACCGACTGTTACTGTCAGTATCCTGCTGCTTCCTCATGTGAGGAGTTCCCAAGCTCTTTTTACTTCAGCAACTTAATGAGCACTTTGAGTTGTGAATACTATTTTCTCTGTGAGGCCAGGGCCATAAATCCCTTCAAGTCTCTCCCCTCCACCCATATTAGGGGCGGGGGAAGCTTCCTCTCTCCCCACCCCACCATTTTTTCTCTTGGCAGATCAACAAAATTCTCTCAGCTCTTCTGAACTAGCCATTACCAATGCTGCAATCTCAACATCTCTCTCTGGTTCCTGTTCAGAACCAAATGTAATTTTTCTAGACGGAATTTGTGACAGCAGATCTGTCATACACCAAGATGATCAGATTGGGGAAGCCCTTCTAAGACTAGAGCAGAAAAATATGCTGTGCACAAATAAAGAGTTTACCTGCAAACTTGTATCCTTGAGTTCTCCTTTCACTTCTTTTTGAGAGTATCTGGGGGTTTTCCCTAAGACAAAAGAGGATATTAGATCATATTTCTATCCTATAATTTGCAAAGCTTTTGGTATTGTTAGGTATGTACTACTCAGTAATTTTAGTTTTCCTCCCCCTTTCTACCTCCTGTGCTATGTATACTTCCACCTTTCAAACTTACACACACGTTTTCCCAAAGTGGCCCCACAATACAGAATATTCCTTAATTTGCTGCTTTATAAACCTAATATGTGGTGTTGCATCTATCCCATCAGTACCAGCAATGCACATGGGATTTGTAATTGTACTGAGTATGCATACATATCATCTCCTCCATGCAGCACTGTATTAAATCAGGCAAATTACTTCATCTTTTTTTTTTAAAGATTTATTTATTTATTTGAGAGAGCGAGAATGAGAGAGAGTACATGAGAGGGGGGAGGGTCAGAGGGAGAAGCAGGCTCCTCGCTGAGCAGGGAGCCCGATGTGGGACTCGATCCCAGGACTCCAGGATCATGACCTGAGCCGAAGGCAGTTGCTTAACCAACTGAGCCACCCAGGCGCCCTTACTTCATCTTTTTAACCCTTGCCTATCTGTAAAATGGGGATAGCACCTACCTCATAGGGTTATTTTGAGGATAAAATATGATACAGTAAGCACTTATCACATCACCTAGCAATTAGAAAGCAATCTGTATTTCAGCTATCAATATAATTATTACTGTTATATCACTACTATTTAACAAATTTGCTTCATTTTTAAAATTACCAAAAATAGTACTCCATTTTTTGAATTAATCTCAGTGTGTCCAACTAATTTCCTATTAATGACTCTTTAGATGGTTTCTACTTTTTTAATATTAGAAACTGTGATGATGGACAGTCTCACATGGTCATCTCTGCACACTTATGGCTATTTTTCTGTTTGCAATTCCCACCCCCCAAATTCTCAGTAACCCTGGAGAGTGTGCATAGAGATTAAGAATATTTTTCCTTTCAATAAAATGTTCCCCTTGCACATCCTTTGGCTGACCTGGGCAGGGGGGTAAAATTGCAACCTCACCCAACTATTAAACATTGCCTCCAGTCCTGCCCCAACAGGAAGCCTGGCCAGAGAACCCAGACAGCCATGGAGCCCTTCCTACAGCCCTGCTCAGGCAGAGAGCCAAGCCACCAGCCCTGCCCAACTGTTGAGCCTGAAGAGAGTCTGAAGAGAGACCCTGGGCAGCCTCTAAGCCTGACCAATGGAACTGCCCATCATAGAGCCAAGCTTACAACCTTCCCAGTGGTTGAGCCCAGCCAGTGACACACCCAAAGGTGGAGCATAGCCTGCAGTCTCACCTAACCAGGGAGCTTAGAAGGCAACCCCAAAGGACCACAGAGCACAGTCTTCAACCCCACTCAACTGTACAGCTGGAGGTCTAGCCCAACCAGAGAATCTAGCCAGCAGCCTACTGTGACAGTAGAGCATAGCCAATGGCCTAACCTAATGACAGAGCTCAGTCTGAGGCTCCATTCAACTTCGGGGCAGGGCCTCAGGCCCCACCTAATGGCAAGGCCCGGCCCATGGGTCTACCTGAACAGGGAGTCAGCTGTGGCCCTGCCTGAATGTGGAGTCAGCCAGTGGCACCATCACGGTCATGGAGCACAACCTGACCAGAAGCGATCGCAGAGCCCAGCTAGCGGCCCCACCTGATGGTGGAGGATAGCCAGCAGTCCTGCCTGATGAGTAGCCCTACTTGAATGTGTAGCACAGCCAAGAGACCCACCCAACCACAGAGCCCAGCCAGCAACAACCCCATTCCCACCTCAGAGCACTGACAATGGCCTCACCCAACTAAAGGCTCTGCTAGCAAGGCCAGCCCTCCCATGGACACTATCAGCTGACCCAACTAATACCTCAAGCTGACCTGTCTCTCCCTACCAAAGTGAACCTAAAATCTGGAAGAAAAGACCGCTTATTCAAATGCGTAGATACCAACACAAAGATAGAAGGATTACAAATAGTGAGCTAAACATGACACCACTCAAGGGGACTGATAAAGCTCTAATAGCTGACCCTAAAGAAATGGTAGTATGAATTCTCTAACAATTCAGAATAATCTTCTTAAGTTCAAAAGACTGTAAGAGCACACTGACAACTAAACAAAATCAGGAAAACAATGCATAAGCAAAATGAGGAGATCAACAAAGAAAGAAAAACCACACAACAAAAAACAGAAACTACAGAGCTGCAGAATACAGTGACTGAAATTAAAAATTCAATGGAAAGCTTCAATAGCAGATTTGACTAAGCAGAGAAAAGAAACATTAGGTATAAGAAGAATTAATACTGTTAAAATGCCCATATTGCCCAAAGATATTTACAGATTCAGTGCAATCCTTATCAAAAATCCAATGGTGTTTTTTTGTTGTTTCTTTTTACAGATACAGAAAACAAAACCCTATAATTCATGTGGAACGACAGAAGACCCCAAATAGCCAAAAAGGAATCTTGAGAAAGAAGAAAAAACCTGGATATATAGTTGACCCTTGAACAACACAGGTTTGAACTGCACAGGTCCACTTACGCATAGATTTTTGCAGCACAGTACTGTAAATTTATTTTCTGTTCCTTATGATTTTTTAAACAATACTTTACTTTCTCTATCTTTATATAAGAATATACAATATGTATATAATACATATAACATATAAAGTATGTGTTAACTGATTGTTTATGTTATTAGTAAGGCTTCCAGTCAAGAGTAGGCTATTAAGTTTTGGAGGAGTCAAAAGTTATACAAGGATTTTTGACGGCATGGGGAGTCAGTGCTCCTAAACTCCACATTGTTCAAGGGTCAACTGTATATGTCTCAGCTATACATAAAAAGGGCAATGTTAACTTAATCTTCCCATTTGGGGCATCAAAATCATAATTTTAAAAAAGTATTGGGTGATACAAAATATTGAACAATACAAAAGAAACCATAAAATGAGAAAACATAAGTCAAATCATTAAAAATAGTTTATGTTAACTTTATTATTTCTTTTAATGTACATTTTTTCCCTTTTATTATTACAAAAAAAACTTAGAATTTGGCACAGAATTAATGGTCAATAAATATTACTTGTTCATAGCTGTGGGCATCTGAGTTCTGAATACGATAATGAATGGGTCTATCTAAACCAGAGCTCCTACCAGAGCATTATCTGGAGGGTGTGTGTGTGTGTGTGTGTGTGTGTGTGTACATATATACATATATATATATACATTATATTCATACATACATACTTTATTAGAGCAATTTTAGGATGACTGCAAAGTTGTGAGGAAAGTACAGAGATTTCCCATGTATCCCCCTACTGGCAGATACGAATGGCCTCTCCCACTATCAAGAGCCAGCACCAGTGTGGTACATTTGTTTCAATCAATTAACCTACATGGATACATCATAATCACCCAAAGTCCATAGTTTACATTAGCATTCACTCCTGGTGTACATCTATGGGTTTTGGCAAATGTATAATGACATGTATCCACCATTATAGTATCATACAGAATAACTTCACTGCCCCCCAAATCCTTTATGCTCTACCTATTTATCACCTTATCCCCCTACCCCTACCCCCGGAAAATAAATGACCCTTTTACTGTCTTTATAGTTTTGCCTTTTCCAGAATGTCATATAGTTGGAATCATGAAGTATGTAGCCTTTTCAGATTGTATTTCTTTCGCCTAATAATATGCATTTAAGCATATGCATAAGTAATATGCATGTCTTTTTATGGCTTGATAGCTATTTCTTTTTAGCAGCGAATAATAAACCATTGTTTGGATGAACCATAGCTTATATATGTATTCACCTACTGGAGAACATTGTGGTTGGTTGCAAGACTGGGCAACTGTGAATAAAGCTGCTATAAACATCCATGTGCAGGTTTTTGTGTGGACATGTTTTCAACTTCTCTGAGTAAATACCAAGGAGTGCAATGGCTGGACTGTATGGTAAGAGTATGTTTAGTTTTGTAAGAAACCACCAAACTGTTCTCCAAAGTGGTCATACCATTTTCCATTTCTACAAGCAAAGAATAAAAGTTGCTATTGCTCCACATCCTTGCCAGCATTTGGTGGTGTTTCGGATTTTGGCCAATCTAAAAGAGTGTAGGTTATCTCACTGTTGTTTTAATTTGCAATTCCTTAATGACATATGATATATGAAGTTGAGCATATTTTCATATGCTTATTTACTACCTGCATATGTACTTTGGTGAAGTGTCTACTAAAGACTTCCCCCACTTCTTTTTTTTTTAAAGTAGGTTCCATGCATGGAGCCCAACATAGAGCTTACCTGAGATGAAGACCTGAGCTGAAATCAAGAGTCAGGCACTGAACTGACTGAGCCACCCACGTACCCCAGACTTTTTCCCATTTTTTAAATTGGGTTCATTTATGTATTGTTTTCAGAATTTTTTTTTAAATTTATTTTAGGTAACAGTCCTTTATCAGATAAGCCTTTTGCAAATATTTTCCCTCAGTCTACGGCTTGTATTGTATTTCTCTTGCAAGTGTCTTTTGTAGAAAGGAAATATTTAATTTTAATGAAATTTAGCTTATCAATTTTTTCTTTCATATTTTTCATGTCTTTGGTCTTGTATCTAAACAGGCATCCCCATATCCAAGGTCATCTAGATTTTCTTCTATGTTATTTTCCAAAAGTTTTGTAGTTTTATCTTATACATTTAGATGTATGATCCATCTTGAGTTAAATTTTGTGAAGGATGTAATATCTGTGTCTAGATTCATTTTTTGCAGGTTGATGTCCAGTTGTTCCAGCACCATTTGTTGAGCAGACTATCTTTGCTCCAGTGTACCTAGAATTTGCTCTTTTGTCAAAGATTAGTTAGCTATATTCATGGGAGATCTATTTCTGGGCTCTCTGTAGTGTTCCATTGATCTATATGTCCATTCTTTCACCAATACAACAGTCTTAATTACATTAGCTTTATATTATATCTTGAAGTCAAGTAGGTCAGTCCTCCAGCTTTTGTTTT